AAAAAAAACACACAACACTATAAACACGGAATGTCAACTTAAAAAAAAACACCAGGGCAAGCCATTAAAAGACCTCGTAAACGCACTGCACTTACCGTTTTTGTAAATAAATAAATACTAGCCAGCGAAACATGTTATTTTAGATAATTTCTCCGTTTTAAAGAACCTGCTGAAATTATATCGCACATCGAAAATATTACTCTGCCGCCTTTAGTTGAAAGACGCATGTGATATATATAAAAAAATTGTTTGTATACTGCCGTGATTAGTGAAAAAAGCCGATCTGTCACATTTACTTACAAATAAATGGACGACGGGTCTAATACAAAAACCACGAAAAAAATGTCCCAAATCAACCTATTTAAACGTAGTGACATGTCAAGGAATATGAAAAAGCTAAAACGTTGAATTTAAATTGTAATATCATCGCTGTACTGTCTAATTTTGCTTGCTTCGCTGTCAATCGAACAAACGAAGACTAAAGCGTGAATGACGCTCTGTATACGATTTTAACGCCCTATAAGTTCGGACACTTTTTAGCGCGGACCCGACGTCCATATAATTGTAAGTCAATGATCTGTCACTATTTTTTTTCTAGATTGACTACTTGTTTGAAGTTAATGCGTGCGGTCATAATCAACTTCATGCAGTCGAGGTCTCAGATAGTTAATCTGTTTGCAGCCTAAGTGGAAAAGGTATGCAATTACCGCAAGAGCACAATGGTTTTATTTAATTTCTTTGGACATTCTTTTGTTGGTTTTGAATTTATGTCACAAGCGCCCTTTCAAATAACGGCGGCAGTACTGTCATTAAACGAAAATGTCCTAAATGTATAAATTAATAATCTTTTATATAACTAACTTTGTTAGCGATATAAAAATCGAAAAATACAAAGAAAAATTCCTACGATCTAACTGGACTCACACCCCCCCATACTGACAACTGAGTTATAGAAGAGCATTTGTTTTGTAGGTCTTAATTGTTTTTAAACGGCTTGAGTTTCTCATACAAATATTTGCAACTGTTAGGTTTAAATGAAAGTATTAATAACTAATTTTGGAATGAACATTTCTGAACGAGTGCGGAGACTGAAAAAAAAAAGAAAAAGGGATGCGGGAACAGAGATGAGCAGTGGGTTAAAATCAACCCGCGCGGGTTTTAACCGGGTTGCAATCCTGTGGATTTTCACTATTCAGAATGCACATTATCAATCGATTTTTATGAATATCGATTCACGTGCATGCGACCTAACGATTTTTTGCATCGAATTATTTCACTGGGATTTTCAAGCGACCCAATTCAATAGAATAGCAAATGTTAATCTTCTAGATCAGAAAGCAATAAACATTTTATAATAATATCATTAAATTTGATCAAAACTCGATTTACAACAAATAATATAATTTAAATAGCTTTTGCCCTCGAATTTGGGAATCAATGGCTTTTAACCCGATTTTAATCCGGCTTTAATAAAATCATCAATCTCTGGGCGGGAATATCTTTAAATTGGACTTTTTTGGCTGACACTGATCTGTCGAAATAAAGAATTAATCTTGCTGGCTATCGTTGACTCCCGCCGTTTCTCTGTTATTTCTCTAACACAACAAGCACATATAGAAATTCGGGAGAACCGATGGCTCGGTCAGTAACTAAGTTGGTAAGAGCGGTGATCGCAGGAATTTTTCTTGGTGTTGCTTGTTCTTTGCATTATTAATAATAACAAAGCAGTACGTATTTTCACAAAAAAATGTAGCGCTGCTATTACAATAGTGTTATAACTGAAAATATGTGAAATTCAGGATTATACTATATTGCTGAACGTAAAATTTGATTATCTACACGTCAATAAATACTTAACTCAAAATGATACAATCTATTTTCGGACTAGTTCTGGATAAAACAGTCTTAATAAATAAGTTTCTAAATAAATATTATATTATTTTTTATTTGGCAAGTAGGGAAATTGTTTAGATGTCTGTGATAAATAAACTTTAACCTGTACATAAATTTTAATAAAATTTAGCTGGAAGAGAGTAATTCGAGTTTATTCGATTCTGAAAAACACTTTTTGAATTAATACACTATTGTAATTTAATTAATTTATAATAGGAAAAACAACATGATATTCAATAATATAAATATTCTTACTAGAATCTAAAATTTCTACCACAAACTTCACTAACACTATGGACCAAATAACATAAAAGGAGCGCTAATCCCGATACAAGACAACGTAGTTGGGTATTTAGTTCCTATTGGTAATCCAGATGTCGCGACGTTCTTTTACATTGACGACCTGCGTTTTATCAAAGCTACTCTAATTTCTAATGATAACGAACAAAGCAACAAGATGGCGCTTATTGCACAAAACACACAATGCTACTATTTGTCAAGTTCAGAAAATTCGATTATGGCGCAATGTTAGATGACCCACGTCGCATGTCGCCTGCACACCTAGAGAAAAAATGCTCTTTGTGACATTACGGCAGTCATTTCTCGGATTCGGAATTAATACGAATCGGACTTCGTGCGTAAACGCTTTAAAGAGGAAATTGTTGATATCCATGGCCATTTACAATAATATTGGTAGAGCAATGCATAATGCATTACGCGTGCCAAGAGGCTTATAGGTGACTCGGAATTAGTGGAGGCGAAGCTGCACAGCCTTGTACAACGTCGTAAAGTTGCCTGCTTATCGGTATTCTACAGGATATAACACGGATTGTGTGCGATGGCATTGCATAATTTGATTCCGCCTTTCCATCATCGGGGGACTAGACGTGGGTTGGGATCCCACCCCTAGGTTGTGGATATTGCCAGGATTCGCACGAAGAGTTTCGCTTCCACATTTATATGGCGAGCGGCTAGAGAGTGGAATTCCCTACCTGCGAACTTATTCCCCGAACGATATAACTTGGACCTTTTTAAGGCGAGAGTGAATAGGTATTACTTAGGTGTGCATGCTACATCGTCGACCTTATCATCACTTTCCATCAGGTGACATCAAATATATATATATATAAAGTTTTTGCAGGCTACCGATGAGCGCCTTAAACCCGTTTAAAAAGATTTTTTACCATTTTCAGAGTGACGGTCTATATTATAGAGATTAACAGTCCTTTTCGTTTATTGATCCACGCTAACACCAATAAAAGCCAAAAACACTTACCTTTCCCCAAAAACCCAGTGCCACCAGTCAAAAACACACATTGGTCCTTATAAAACCTTTGTATTTCAGTCTTAGGCGCTTTACCCTTCGTCAGTTTCTGCTTTTCCTCCTCCTTGGCATCCTTCTTGTCTTCTTCACTGTAGTAGCTATCCAACTGGTTAGCGGACATGAACTCATGGTTTTCCGAATAATCCAGGATCGGTGCTTTAGGGGTCATCGCGTCTTTTTCTACTTGAGCTATATGGACTGTGTTTTCTAGTTCCTGATGGATGAAACAATTAAATAAGACTTAAATAATACTCAAGCCAAAACTCAAGCTCAACTTGAACTAAAGCCATAATCAAGTCAAACCAAAACTCAAGTCAGACTAAATCAAGACTGTAGCAAGTCGAGTAATCTCAAGTCAGAATCACGTCACACTCCGTCTAGAAACTTACGACCTCGGTAACTCAGCGGTTAGCAAATATCTTGGGCAGATTTCCGTTCCAGTGGAAACCATTAGACCTTTGAGGTCGTTGTATAAAAATATTGATGAACAACCAAAGTGACCCAGCGATTATAATTCTATGGGTGTTAGATATAAGAAAGTGTCGAATGGATTACCGCTTAAATCAATTTGGGAAATGAACTTTTATAGATTGGTCCTGATTTGGATGTTCCGGGTGTTTAGTGTCCCGGAGCTAATTTCGTTACTCTGGTACTCATAGCACAGGGAATTCTTCAGTTTGATACCAGATTTTTTATATAGTTTTCGGACACTATTCTTCGGCCATTGTTACATTCGATGTTCTCAGCCTAATTACCGTAGCCATTTCAGTGTTTTCAGCCTAATTAGTGTAAGCATTGTTTTCCTCGCTTATTATACTCAATAACATTGAAATATGAAACTTTAAGCTAAACTATCAATGTCTAAATGTAATTAGAATAGACAAAGTAGTTTTCGAGTTATTCAGACACAAATATTTCATGACAACCTAATTAGAAAGTTCAAATATTTTTAAGAAAAATTAACTATTTCTGACACAGCTGAATTATTATTTATATATTTTGCTGCATTTCGTTTATTTCTACTGATACAAGTGCCATTAATGTTGTTCATATTTCAATGTTATTGGGTATAATAAGAAGAAGAAACAATGGTAATTAGGCTAAGAACACCGAACGTGAGAATTGGCCGTCTTATAACTAACATTAAAATCAGACTCAACACACAGATTACTTACGGATAAATTCTCCTGGAGTTCCTTGCTCAAGTTCCTGACATTCTCCAACTCCTTCAACTGCTTGTCCGTTGGCTTCCCATACACGTCGATATCGGTCTTGTCTCCATTAATTTGTGCTTTTATCCATTGCGCCATTTTGTCCTTCGTCAGATCAACTTTGGTCAAAGGCGATTCTTCTAAGGAGAAGTTCATTTTTCTGGTAAAGAACAAAAATATACTTTTGATTATTCCAGGTAATACGACTGGAATGTTCATGTCTGCAAATCTCACACTGGGTGTATCAAAGGCGCAAACCAACGCCTTTCAGGAGAGAAATGTGAAGATTCTACAAACTAGATGATCACAACCGTGCCGTGATCTAAGGTCTAAAATGGATAGAGCTCATAACAACTTTTCTAAAGATTTGGACTTATTCTCCCATAGTCGCTATACTTATTTAAATATTTATAAGGAGAAGCTTAATATGTTGGATATTTAAGAATCTCATGTTTTTATATACGTGTACATGTATTTTTTGCTATTGTTTTTAAGTGCACATTTTAATTTTTTTTTTATATTATGTTTAATAACCTGTTAATTTGTAAGTACTTATTTATTTTGCAAATGCCGTGCGTGGCTGTCATAGGAATACAAATTTACTCCTATTATAATGCATGTTAACTTTAAGCGTCTTCACAGTTTGTATTCTGTAGCTATGCCAAAAATAAATAAATAAATAAATAACCCACTAAATCATCCTTTTACCCGCTCTGAATATTACAAAGATTCCTTTACGATTAAGGCTACACAACTATGGAATGTACTCCCGTCTGAAATCTGACATTCTCAGTCGCTTCCTATTTTCAAAAACGGATTATGTAAATATTCTATTTATTTATTTATTGCATTGTCGCACTTATATTATATTAAGTACAGTGGCTTGAAAATGAACAAGTGATACCCTGTAAGGGCACAAGCAAAGTGATGAAGCATATCAATTCAATAAAAATTTAAATACAATGAATAGCGACATCTCTAGCCGGGACTGGTAGCTGTAAAGGTATCTAACTGGATAACGAAATATTGTAGATTTCTCATAGATGGCGCTACGGCTAAAAAGTAATTGAAAAACCAAATACAAAAATACGACTCAAGCACATAGAAAAATTCGTGAGGTCTACCGGTTCATTCCGTGGCTTAGCTGGTATAGCGATCGATCTTTGTATTAATAATTATAACAAACTAGTGGAGTAATTTCAGGTAAAAATTATTGAATATCAATTCGATAAAAATTTAAGTAGGAATGTGCTTTAAATGTCTCTAATACACTTTTTGAGTTAAAACACTATTGTTAACAGTGTGACTTGTATGCTAATGCTATATTAATTATAATTTAATTTGACATGAGTACATGTTTAGGAACGCACGCTAATTTACTTCCGGTTTTTCTCATACTGACCTAACCTATTGAATGACGGGAGCAAACAAGAAACCAAGATTTATTACCAGATCAATATCAAAAGATATACCTACTGGCTATAAATGTTGTCAATCGTTAAAAGAAAATTGGAGAATAGCAAAATTAACCATTAAAATAATTGCTCCTTATAATAAAATTTAGGCACTATTTATAAAAATGAATGTTGATGCGTGAACAGCACTTAGAGGTGGATGGAATCAGGAAAATCGATTCACAAATACCAGACTTATCGCGTAACATACATACAAAAAAAAACATACAGTCAAATTGAGAACCGCCTCCTTTTTTTGAAGTCGGTTAAAAATCTTCATCCTCTAATATATAAATAAACTAGCTGTTGTTGACAGTCGTCTTTATAAAGTCACAAGTTTATATTTACATATTCACAGATCGATCGACATGAAAGAGTCGAACGGGCCATTATTACCGGGTTTTTGATCATCCAAGTTAATAAATAACCTTTGATATAAAGTTTTTGCTTCACTATAGCTTCAAATTACGTAAGTGGTACTTTCGACCTTTTTACCGAAGCGTCTTCGAGGTCGAATCACAGTTAATGTTATTTTTTTATATTTGCGTTTATTTACAATACACCTTAATGATGCACAATATCGCTTATTACGTACTTTGAGTGATGGGAAAAACAATTCGTGGGCCTGTACGCCAACAAGATCCATCTTTCCTTTCAATTATGCAAAAGTAAAAAGATAAATAAATTATATAATTTAGTATGCTTAAACATAATGATAGTGTTACCTTGAATGCAGTTCATTTATAATTTATCCGTAGATCAACTGATATAGACGGAACAGTTATATACTCCCGGACACGTAATTCGCGCCACCTCGCATCAGTATTAATGCCCTATGCTTAAATAATGCTCGATTGGTCAAGAACTATCCTACGCAATTTTGAAACTAGTATATTAAAAGTCTTTTCCATAAGTCCTTGTTGGAAATTTGGACTTGCAAAACCAGGGAAACCCCTTTTTCTTCAACATCATCATTATTCAGCCATACGACGCCCACTGCTGGGCATAGGCCTCCCTTAACGATCTCCACGAGGATCGATCCTGCGCTGCCAGCATCCATCGGCTTCCCGCGACCTTTACCAGAACGTCGGTCCACCTGCTGGGGGGCCGTACCGAGCATAGCTCTCTCCATTGCCCGCTGAGTAACCTTGGGCCTTCTTATGAGGCCCATAGTGAGGGACAACGTTTCTGTTCCATATGGAATCACTGGCAACACACACTGGTCAAAGACTTTCGTCTTGAAACATTGAGGTAATTTGGAAGCGAAGATTTTTTGTAGTTTCCCGAATGCTGCCCATCCGAGCTAGATTCGACGAGAGATCTCTTTCTCGAAGTTGGACTAAATGGACTGTATATATAAATATCAAACATAAAATAAATATCGTTAATTTAAAAAAGTGCACATTTACATTTGATCAATTATATCTTTAAGGATAGAAATGCAAGGTGGCGCGATATTTGTGTCCGTGAATGTGATAGGGCATTTCGCCTTGAATATCCTATTCAAGAATGTCGTTCAATGCCCTAGAGAAATCCCCACGACGTCATCGTCAGGATCTATTTTTATACCTGAAATGCAACTACCTTAATCAAAAAACCCACTACTCTTTATTTAGACGTTCTCTGACGCAATTACATAAGACGCCATTTTTGTAACTTCTTATACGTGCGTAACAAATTACAACAGTATGTTTTACAATATGTACGTAACTTAAGAGTAAATAAAAAATACAAAGAAAAACATCCTGGTGAATTGGACTGTTTGTTTGTTACGCGTTTACTTCATTTTGTGACATTTGATTTTGTGAACAGATTTTGGTGGTTATTTTTTTATTGGGAATACCTCAGTAGTGGTCCCGTTCAAATTTGAAGGAAATATTCCACCTCTAAGGGTGGCAAATTAGGGGATGAATCCTGTTTATTGGACTTCACACACTTTCCGTTAACGACTATAACGACTGCCTCCATGGCCGAACGGTCACCATGACTGTCACGCAGGGGTCCCAGGTTCGATTCCCGGGCCGGGAAAATTGTTTGTGTGACTTACATTTATTTCTCTCATGAGTTTGGGTGTAATTTGTGGTTGTCTATGTGTGTGTCCATGGCACCCGCGACATCGGGTTTCCCTAGTGCTTTATTTTAGCTAGTTATTATTATAAAACTTGGCAAATGGATGTAATGCCACAAACGTTTGAGGATGGTTTTTTATAATTATTTATATAAAAAAAAAAGTGCGGATTTGATCTTCATCTCACTTGATATTTTGAACTTAAATTATTTAATTTAAGTTCAAATAATGAAATTACACACTGGGTTTATTTCAGAATTATTTTTTTTTACAATTCAAAAATGTCATATCGTTTAGTATACGCTTTCTATTTAGTTCCAGTTGATATAAAAAAGAAATAGGTATTGACAACAGAACTACTACCTATTGAATACAGCGGTTTTCTTGTAAAATTTCGGGGTAAGATTGTTTTTTTTTCTATTGTGACAATTTTTATTAATCAAGTTTTCACACCGTTTGGTAATCAGTGTAAGTATATATCCTCAATTATACTATATATTTTTTCCAAAGTTATTGTAGTCCTGTGTGATTCCGTACACAGAATTATCACAATGACGTGGTCGTGCAACGATCTCAAACTTCAGGATTTTTCTTAGTTGATTTTTAGTAAATTTTAGTTTATTGAGTATTTTTTTTAAATAGTGTCAACTTACACACATTTAAAAATTTGGTTATAACTATCTTGTTACTTCAAATACTGATATAAACGCACGTAACCAACGCAAAACCTAGTCGAAATAAATTATTAATTCATAGTTTAGTTATAAATGACAGTTTGTAATTAAGCACGTGTTTCGTATATCTGAATCTGCGAACAACTATATTTCCCAATAATCTAGATCCAGATTTACCTTAACCAAAACACGAATGTCTGGTAAACTCACAACTGAACTTTCGCTGGTATTGCGTAAGGACGTGTTGACATCAAGTCAAAAAACCAGTTGTTCACCGTAATAATGTCTCCTTTAGTCTCATAAATGTAGCGCGTAGACAATAAAGTCGTTCACTGAATGCGAGTTAAACATTACAGATATACACAGCAACATGTAGCAGTGGAGTTTCTTGTGAAAGAGTTTATCCAGGGAAGTACTAAGCCACCACCATATTACCACTTTATATATTTTTGAGATGTGTAAATTCGTACGCAAATACAAACACTTTTATACAAAAAAAGAAGACATTCCTTCAAAATATATTTTACGCCATAAAAATAAATTTATATTGCCCCATTCCCGCTTAAATCTAAACTATACAAGTACATATAATTTTTCTATAAAACTGTATAATAACTTACCTAATGTCTTAATAAATGAAAGCAATGATATACAATTTACAAAAAAGTTGAAAGAGTTACTCTTACAAAAATGTTATTATAGCATTAATGAACACTTAAATGATATATTACTGACACACGGGAACAAAAGCTAAACAAATAAACACACATTAATATATAAATACAATATATCGATATATATATGTATATTTGTATATTTAAAAGTAAAATGAAATAATCTATAGTAAATTAAATAACAATTATTATTACATACACATATATTTTATGTTTTGTTTGCATTTAAATTTCATATTAAAACATGTAAATTTCGATCTACTGGTTTGCTCCTCTCTCCTTTCCT